GACATCTTTTTTTCACGCTTGAGTGTAAGAGGCCTGGTGCACGTTTCGTTATTGCTCCCGTGACTGTATAATCTGTTCAGGTGGCATTGTATCTTACAATCCCATCATTCGGTGGCAAGGTGATTCGATTGCCAAGTGCATCTTTTGTGCATTGAGTGCGCGGTGATGCGTTAATGTGCGCTTGTGTAAGTATGCCTGCGCGCAGATGCATTGCGCCTTGTGTGTCGCCACCCCGCACTCTCAGAGTCCTTGTCCCCTCAGCATCCGCCTCTCCACTCCCTCTCCCCCGTCCGCCTTGTCCTTCCTTGTTCCCTCATCATGTTTCTCTTGCGTCCGCTTGAGCAGTTACCTCCTACTTCTCTTAGTCCTGCGCTCCACGTTCGTCTTGCTCCCAACTTGGTTATGTCCTCCTCCCCTGTGGCTCCGACTCCGAAGGCGTGGTTGCGGGATGGCGCAACGATTCTGCACCACACACGGGCCTGTGTACAGTGGCGGTTGCGCCGTGACCGACTGAACATTCTGGGGCGTGGGGTTGGCCTCACGTGTCTTCCGCCCCCAGTGCTTGGCCCTGTGACCGTGCACCCCTGCACCGTGGACCCGTCAGTGCTCTGATCGCAGGCGCCGAGCCTTGGCGGCGGCGCGGTCGTTGCTCGGGGGGCCCGCCCCGTCGGCCTCGGAGGCGGGCCTCTGGGGGCGTGCCGCCGCGCTGTCTGCAGCGCCGCGCCTGCCCAGCGGGCGGGCCCCACGGGCCGTCGTGCCCGGGGGCGAGGGGGCCGACGACGCGGGGGCCGAGGATCGACTGCACGTGAGAGTGACCTTTCGCCGGAGTGACCTTTGGTGCGAGCAGAAATTGGGGTCCCCCGATCGCCGCGCTCGTTGCGATAGTAGCGTCTCGCGCGCTTGTGTTTGGCCTCCTCGCGCCCCCCAAAAAGCCGCGCACCAAAGGTCACTCTTGCCCAGGGTCACTCTTACGTGCAGCCGAGAGGAGGACGCCGGGGCGAAGCCGGACGCCCTGGGCAAAGGGAGGTCGGGAGCCTCGAGACGGGGAGAGCATGCTACGCATGGAATGAATTGAGTAGAAGATGAGGTGTTGGATCCGTGAGTGGATCAGCCTAGACAGTATGATGGTCAGAGGCTTTGATGCCTCCATTGATTGTGGGTCGGCTATGATGCCAGCCAATGCCCACCCCGTCCCGTCTCCAGGGACTTCGCATCCCCCTTTGATGGCAGGATGGGGAGACGGTCCGCCACCCCCGGCACTGCACGTACTGTGCCGGGTTCGTGGGGATTTTGTTGAATTCTATGAGTGTCCCCTCCCTCCCCTCCCCGCCCCTCTACCTCCGCGCCTGGTCCTGTGAGTGGGAAGCCAAGTAACGTATACACCGTTTTGACTCCGAGTCCCGGTGACGATCACAACCTGCTGAGCTTGCACGAGTTTGCACGAGTTAAGACCAAAGGGTTACCAGGTAAGGTCTGCAGGCGGGAAGTCTGGACCAAAGGGTTACCAACTAGATTGTAGTTGCCTGGATAGAGTAGTCCCTTTAGGTGTCGGCGCACGCGGGCTTGGAAGTCGACCGTCTTGCCAACGTAGTAATGTTTATGCCAGGGACTCCATATTATGTACACGACAAATTCAGCATGCAGGAGGTCCGGCGACGGTGGCCATGTAGAGGATGGGAGTGAGGATGCAAGTGTGCGGAGCTTGCTGTAGAAGGCGGTGGTGGAGGACATCAGGAAGGGTGCGGTGAGAGCAATGCCCATGCGAATGAGTGCAAAAATGCATGGCCATACGAAGACACTCTCGGCGTACGCGCTGTGGAAGGCATGGCGGACCAATGCCAGAGAGGTGATGTTACAAAATCGGATCTCAGGGGTTCTGGAAATGCATGGCATCCCGTCGTCGTGAAGATCCCAAACACCACCGCTTGCGCGGTGCGCTCCTGCGCGTGTACGGGAAGATAGTCAAATCTCTGTCGAGCGCGTCTTGGCCATGATGGCCGCCAGGAACTGCGACAAGTCCCCAAATCGCTTCTCGTCGAAGCGAACGCCGAGCTCGGACGCCTTGTCCTTGAAGACCGCGAGGACCTTCGGGTCTGGCTTCTTCGACCGGCCCTTGGGCGCCACGATGGCATCGAGCGCCTTGCGGTAGACTGCGAAGCGTTGCCGATCCGACGCTGGGGAGTCCTCCGTCGGCACGGCCTCGTCCATGGCCCAGTCGATAGTCTTCGTGTTCCTGGCCTGGTGCATGCGGTCAGGCTTGAACTTTTTGATGTCGTCGAGCGTGTACTGGGTGACCGTCTTCTGGGATGCCCGACCCCTTCCTGAGAGTGCCCGGAGCGTGTGAGCCGACGCAGGCTGCGCCTCAGGGGTCGCCTCCGTAGCCTCGACATGCGCCTGGCCCTGGTCTGCAAGAAGGGCGGCGACCGCGTGGGTCATGTTGGACAGGCACTCGCCTGACGTGGACTGCTCGGCTCGTTTGTACAGGCTCTGGGTCGAGATCCAAGCTAGGAAAACCGAGAAGGAGAAGGTGTCCGAGTCGAGGGGCACGAACGGCACAATCTTTTGCAGGTTGCGCCTGGCTTGCGCCCGCATGATGTAGGGGCAATACTCTTCGGCGTTCTGGGAGATCTCCCTCCGGGTCTTGGCGGTGCACAAGGAGATGCACCTGCGCATCATCTCGGCGTTGCATTTCTTGCGCTCATTGATGAAGTCCTCCGTGCCGAACGGGATGTCGGGCTTGTAGTCGGGGGGGAGGGCGTAAGCCGTCTCCAAAAGCTTAGATGCAACGGCGCCCCCCGAGAAGAGTAGCTCGCGGACCTCAATGTCGGACAGCTTTTGGATGGCACTCTTGGCGGCCTGCACCCCGCTCTCCGGCGCACCGACGTGGTTGGGTGGGTAAGCCTGGCCTTGCCCGCGGTCCCTGGTGGCTGGGAGGTCGCGGGGGCCACGGGGGCCCTGTTCCCGGCGCGGAGCCCGATCGAAGTATTGGGCACCGTGGTGAGGATCATACTGCCTGGCGGGATAGGCCAGCGGCAGGTGGGGCGACCGCGCCGCCGGCGATGCCTTCGGTGTCAGGCCGTGCGCCATCCTGGGGGCAGCCCCGATCGGCGAGGCAGGCGGCGGCTTCCTTGGGAGTCCGGGGCTTTGCGCAGGGCAACCCCTGGCGAGGTGTCCGCGGATGCCACAGTTAGGGCAGAGCAGGCGGTCTGGTGAGAGGGGCCGGGTGGGGGCCTCACGGTGGCCACCCGTGGTCCGCGGCATGAGCCTGTGATGGTCACGTGCCCTGGACCTGGACCTAGACCTATGATGGTCGCGGCCCATCCCCGCCGCGGGCCTGCGATGGTCCCGTGCGATGGGTTTGGACCTAGACCTATGATGGTCACGGCCCGACCTTGCCCTATGATGGGAAAGTTGGTCGCGGTAGAGGTCGTCACGGTAGCCCTTGGGGTCGAAGTCGCCCATCGCCTGACGCTGCCCATGTCCACGGTCCGCCATGCTGCAAGCGAGTCTCCTGCGGCGCCGCTTGGGGGGGGCCCTGTGAGCGAGGTAAGTCGGAAACCTGTACCCTTGGGCAGAAGAGGCGGTGGAGAGGGGAAGCGGGAGGGGAGGGGGAAGGAAGGGCGACAGAGGGGAGAAACAGAACAGGAGGGGGAGAGAACGAAGAACGAGCCAGGAGGCAGGAGCAACGAGGCCCTCCCATTCCCTTTGAATTCCATGAGTTCTATGAGTTCTATGACAGGCACTGGACGGCCGGCAGGGGACTGAGTCCCGTTCACGGCCCAATCAGGGAGAGCATGCTACGCATGGAATGAATTGAGTAGAAGATGAGGTGTTGGATCCGTGAGTGGATCAGCCTAGACAGTATGATGGTCAGAGGCTTTGATGCCTCCATTGATTGTGGGTCGGCTATGATGCCAGCCAATGCCCACCCCGTCCCGTCTCCAGGGACTTCGCATCCCCCTTTGATGGCAGGATGGGGAGACGGTCCGCCACCCCCGGCACTGCACGTACTGTGCCGGGTTCGTGGGGATTTTGTTGAATTCTATGAGTGTCCCCTCCCTCCCCTCCCCGCCCCTCTACCTCCGCGCCTGGTCCTGTGAGTGGGAAGCCAAGTAACGTATACACCGTTTTGACTCCGAGTCCCGGTGACGATCACAACCTGCTGAGCTTGCACGAGTTTGCACGAGTTAAGACCAAAGGGTTACCAGGTAAGGTCTGCAGGCGGGAAGTCTGGACCAAAGGGTTACCAACTAGATTGTAGTTGCCTGGATAGAGTAGTCCCTGTAGGTGTCGGCGCACGCGGGCTTGGAAGTCGACCGTCTTGCCAACGTAGTAATGCTTATGCCAGGGACTCCATATTATGTACACGACAAATTCAGCATGCAGGAGGTCCGGCGACGGTGGCCATGTAGAGGATGGGAGTGAGGATGCAAGTGTGCGGAGCTTGCTGTAGAAGGCGGTGGTGGAGGACATCAGGAAGGGTGCGGTGAGAGCAATGCCCATGCGAATGAGTGCAAAAATGCATGGCCATACGAAGACACTCTCGGCGTACGCGCTGCGGAAGGCATGGCGGACCAATGCCAGAGAGGTGATGTTGCAAAATCGGATCTCAGGGGTTCTGGAAATGCATGGCATCCCGTCGTCGTGAAGATCCCAAACACCACCGCTTGCGCGGTGCGCTCCTGCGCGTGCACGGGAAGCCAGAGCGCCCGATCTTGCAGGATCCCGCAGGGCCAGTGTGGCACTGGCCCGGGCTTGGGTGCAGGATCCTGCGGGATTTTGCAGGGTCCTTCGCATCGATCCGGGCTTGGGCGCAGGATTTTGCAGGATCTTGCAGGGCCTCACTGACAGGGGTTTGGATTGACCCAGGTCAGTAGATCCCCGAGGATGGCCATCACCCCGCTGCTCCAGGAGCAAGCAGTGGCGAAGCGTCCTAGCGTGCCTATAGGCCTGCCAAGCAATGCTCTAAGAACCTATTGTGGTCTCCACGACATGTTCTT